CTCTTCTCTTTAAGGCTCTCATATACCTAGATAATACATGGACATCTAAAGTACTGTTAAAATGATATGTCAAATCACCACGTCTAGAACTATGATCTAGAGTGCTGAATGATGTCACCTGCCACTAACATTACCGTGAAGTACTCCTCAATGAGTGAATAGCATACGATCCCTGTGCTGGATAGTTTCACAACAAAAACTATGGTGTGGCTCTGAGCAGCACTACTGCCAAAAACCAACATATCTCTGGTGACAAACATGGGGCTAACATGGCTGTCACAGAGAGAGCTTTTCCTCTCCCATGCCTGTCACCTAGCTTGGTTTTTGTGCTACATCAGCCTCAGGGAAAGTGAAGAATTCCACCACAAGCCCATCTTGAATTCACATAACTTAAAATTATTTCACTCTTCCTCCAGATTTTGTATTTAAATATGAGATTATTAATGCAATGCCTAGAAGCTGTCTGTCCTCCCCTGCTTAGTTTCCTAACAAACACAGACATTACTGGCATTTTCTACTGAAGGGACAGAATAATGTAAAAAATTCAAAATACTTCATTAATCACGTAAAAAATTATTTGAGATTAGTCCTATTGATATTATTGCTTCCTAACCAGGATTTTGAAATGTTTCAAGTGAATAAATAGTAGCTTACAATTGGACACTTTTCACTACAAATACATTTCTATTCCTTTTTGCTCCAAGTGAAAACCAGAAAGACCTACCGGATCCTTCATACCACTGCCATCCTTGCCCAGGCCTTCCCCCTTCTTCCATCCCATCTTCTCCAACATCTTATGTCCTTTATTGCTGTTGCTGATTTCACTTTGAAGAAAGTTTAAGATAACTGATAAGCAAGAGTTAATACAAAGACTATGCTCTCTACTCAGATACTGAAGGACAGAAATGTACATGCACGTGCTGCTCTAGAAACCAGGACCAACTACTATGCTGTTACTACTGCCATGAAGAGCTATCCAGAAGACCATTGTGCTACCTTTTGCAAGTTATTCCATGCATATCTTTCATTACCAAAGCTATTCCAAGCCTCTGGTCAATACCAACTTTCTTAAAACTCCTTTTGAACTACTTGTTTACTTTAGGAGTTAAAAGATACAGCATGAGTGGGAGGGAATTGACTGTACTAGGGAAAAGGCAGTATAGGTACCTCACCAACAGATCATCCTTATGCGCAGATTTTGTTGTCTTGCACTTTCTTTTACTAACTTGCAAGCACCTACAAGTTCATGTTTCTTAAAAAAACCACCCCAACTACAACTACAGAAGCAAAAGTAAATGCATGTCCTATGACAGGCTGGATATTGACAGTGAAAGAAACTGAACGTGAAAAATTTGCATGTGTGCTATTACTGGGACTGGATAGTAAAAACAGAAATGGAGACACTTGAAAAGTAGACACTGTTGAAGGTGTTGATAGTGCAGCTTGAGAGTTCCTTGATTTTTTGAGTTGGTAAAGAAGTGATCTAAGCATCCTTACTGCCAATTTGAATTCTCTATGGAAGGTGAGGATTTAATAAAGAGAGCATGTGAACTGGCAAGTGAGAATAGCTTACTATTTTCTAGCTCTCCTAACACAATATATCCAGGTAATTGATAATCTAACAAACCGTATCCTAGTAATTAGTTGATATTTCCTTTATCATAATTTTTTAAGATTCGCTAGAGAAGGACACAGAGGATTCCTTCCACCCCAAACAAACTTACATATGAACAGAAGCTGGACTGTCATCTCTCTGGAAGGTTCCTTCACTTCCAATGGTCTCTCTGCGTTTTCCTGCTCTATCTTTGTACTTTGGATTTTTCACTGCTTTGTTGTCTTCATACTCTGTGTTCTTTATAAGCAGATAAAATTCCATCAAGACAAAGAAAGTGGGTTTTAAATTCTTTATTTTTGATAACTTCACTGCTTCCCTCCAAAAGTAAGGCGGCTTTACACTACTTAATTAATTCTAAATAACAAAAAACTATATAGTTCTCATTTAGTAGTTTCTTTCCTTACAGTTATACCTTGTGAAGTATGTTATTGCCATAATCACATAATAATGTAATATTGCAGTCATTAATTTCACAGAGGCTGTAAATAAATTAACAGATTCTCATACTGCTCTTGGTATGAAGAATCAATCTCTCTGTATGAAGCAAAAAACCATATGGATATTCCACTGGCTTTTTGTTTAAACATACAGCCTGTTACTCAGCAACTGTTGAGGTTGAGTTAGGTGACGGAACTAAGCACATGCATAGATTCCGTATCAATATTATTTTGCTAGCGGAAGAATTTTGGAGAAAGTTGGCATTCTGTTTTCTATATGAATACTTATTACAAGTGCTACATGTAATCCCATAGTTAAAATAATCTCTAAAACTGAAGTAACTTGAATATACTATGTTGCCTGTACATTCGTGTTGGCATTCTTCTAGGGCAAAGTGGACTTAAAATAAAAATATTGAAAAATTTCCCTCTTCCTTCCATCATTTTTCAGTTGCTCATTATTTTTCCTTTCCAAATAAAAGACAGCACTGCAATTTTATGTGAACTTCATTTGCAGAAATAAAAATAGAAATGTCTTAAGAAATTTTAACCTCAAAAAGATGAGGCATCTTGTACACATTAGAATGGATCTTCTTTTCCTAAACTTCTAACAGAACTTTCATGCCCTGTTATCATCATCTCTCTCTGTAGAGGTTTGTAAATTATTATTATTTAGTGTACAAAAGACAAGCTCAAGTTAAACTAGCAGCCTCAAGTTTGAGTGCATTTAAAAACTTTCCTTATTCACTGAAGTCTATGGCTTAAAATAGAAATCACAAAGTAGATGCAGACTTCTGTTAATCAGCTTCTACTGTAAACTCACCTGCAAACCATATTTGACCCGTATTTGTTTTAATGCTTTTCTTCTGACTAACTCTCTCTCTTCTTTGCTAAGTGCTGGGCAAACTAAAAAGAACACCACAAGATTGAATTTCTAATTAATAAAGTAACAATGTTTAGAAACATAAGACAACTGTGATAACTTTTGTTCTAACGTTATTACACATGGACACACATACCAAGAAGAAAATGCATCATCATGTATTGTATAATTATTCCCAGCTGACAAGAAAATTATAAGGAAACTGAAGTAATTACAATGTTTATAAAGTAAAGAGCCATAATAAAAAAAATATCCCACGATAACATGACTAACCAGAAGATTCCTTTTTCCTGTCCAGGCGAAGATGTGCTCTGACTTGTCCTGGTTCACATCCATCACAAGTATCACTGCCAGGATGTATATGAAATGAAAGCACAGTTTCACCAATCTTCACTTCATCTCCGTGCTCCAAGATGTAGGGATCGCATTTTGTTTTAGGCTACAGCAAAAGAAAATTTTGGTAGCCATGTTAGTTAGTTACTAATGAAGGGCACAAACACTATTTCACGAACACTGCTCGTAAGTTAGTAATTCAGTTTGGTATCACAAATGCAGGCAAGTATTTAACTACAGTGGCTATTTCACTCTAGGAACTGCAACCAGAGTGGATTTTTCCTAATACAAACCAAACATGAAGTATTATAAGTGGCCTTAAAAACAGAAGGGAATGAAAGAAGAGAATAATGTATGAAAGAAGCCACACAATTACGTTGTTAATGATTTGCCATAACACATTTAAAATAACCACACGACTACAGTTTTCTGCAACATACACGGAATTATAACAACAGGTACTCACCTGGAGAATCTGATTTCCATTAACAACTGTTCCATTCTGACTGCCTTGATCCACAAGAACGTAATTTTGCAAATTGTGGTCAAAATATACTTCTGCATGGAACTGACAAACAGAAGCCTAAGTGAAATGCTCTTATTGAGCAAATACTTCACAATTTATATGCTATTTTACAGTAAGATTTCAGAATATATTTTGAGGCCTTTAAAATGTGTGGCTCTAGTACTCCAAGTTAATAGAGTATTCCACACCTTATGATTTCATCCATGTGACATGTAAATGAATGGGCCACAACAGCATGAGCTAAAGTATGGTATTAATAATACAACTATTTTGGCCATAAACTGATTCACTACTGAGAAAGTGTATACTTCCAATGTGGCAAGTATGCTTTACTTAAAGGACTGCAAGATTCAGTTATATAGCATTTTTAGCTACTCTTATAAATAAAAGGCTTTTTCCCTGTAAGGTATGCTACAGCACTCTCAAATTTTTCTCTTCCAATTAAAGAAAAATATCTGATCTCATTCTACAGTTTCAGGTTACTTGGTATTTCATACCTGAAATAGCTCCCTAAATGCCATGCCTTTGTAAATATCATGAAATTCACCTTCACTTGCATCTTAATGCCCAGGACACAATGACTAGCCATCGCTTGCCTCCTTCTACATTCTTTCCCATATTGAGACTAGCAATTTTTTGTTTTGTTTTTTGTTGTTGCAATTCCATATAGGTATTGCTCCCAAACCCACATAGAACAGAATAAAAACAACTTCTGACGAGGCTCAAAGCTATACACTACCTCCAAAAATGGTGACTGGGCAAACCAAAATATCATCTTCTGAAGCCTACTAAGACTCTGAGTAAAAAACAGAAGTCTAAAAAAGTGACAGTTTCAAATTTGACAAGCAAAGATCCCTTTTGCTATACTGGAGAAAAAATACAAGAGTTAACTTGGGAAGAAAGTGTTCATCTAAAACCAAGTCTCTTCTTATCTGTGAGCAACAGCAGTTGCTACATTCAGTAATAAAAATATAGCAAAATAATATTTTGTATATTGGCTATAGCATTTACAACACAAGTACTTCCATAATGGTGGAGACTGCCTAGCTCATTCAATAAATACTTTAATTTCTACCCTTTGTTTTATTGAATGAGATGAATCCAAACTTTATTTCCTAAAGATGCTAAATCTGCAGTGTGTAGTGTTGTTTTTTTACATCTCACTCTACACTCAAGAAAAGCAAATGCCACAACTATTAACTATGAAAAGTGTGGAAAACAAACTGGTAGTTAAATTTTGTTTCCACAGAGAAGTCATTTATCTTCCTGCCTCTGAGTCCTTATCTGCAAAGTGAAATAACTTCTTACATAAGCAGTCAGGTACCCATGAAGTATTAAAAAATTACAGGAAAAAAAAAAAAAAACCTTTTGGCTTCTTTATGCACCCAATTTCAAATACATGCCTGAAAAAGTCATTAATAGCAGGCAAATATTTGCTCTGGAAAATTTTCAGTATAAAATATGTTACACGGCTGATTAATCAGAACTATCATCTGGAACAGGCATAGTAAAGTGTATTTCTGATACTTGCATTTGCAGATGTCTTTATCAATTTTTTTTTGTTTGGATGACATGTCTTTGTCAATCTATGTTTTATTAAGAGTGCTGTATTTATGGTCTGTGTTAGAGTAGCTAGCAAAAAAGAGCACATAATTTATCTTTAATCTTTCTTAACCAAAAGAAAAGTTTTCCATTACCATCTGTCACTGAAAGAAATTCTGATAAATTTACAAGCTCCCTGTATATCACTTACATATTTATGCAGTTGTCTTGAAGAAACATAAAATAGAACCTGTTGCTCCGAGCTCAACTTCAAGGACTGGATTACTTTATGACAAAGTTCTAACTAGCTGACATCAATATTTTATATACCATTAGTACTTAAAAGTAATAAGTTTTTTTCAAGCTCAGTAACTAAGAAGTTCAAGATTCAAAGTACAATTTTTTCTTCTGTGCATTACACTGTGGATTAGTAAAACTCCAATTAAAAAAAAAATTTAGCTTTTCTAGACTTCGAAATCACACTGTTGTTGGTGTTAATTTCCCATTCAGTACTGTACATTTTCCTAACTTCAAATGTGTCTAAACCCACATAAGATTTTGCAAAATTTAAAGCCATAAAATCTAAAGCTTCATTCATATTCTGCCTTTCAGCAGACAGAAAAAAGAGTTACCTTACTGACTCCAACTTCAGGAATCTGAAGGGTGTGTCCAACATCTTTTTCTCTGGAAGGCAAGTTGATATGCAAATCACAACAAAGCAGAAATAGGTCTAATAAGTGGCTTACAAAAGGGGTATTTCAGTTGAACCTTAATACCATGTTTCTCTTCTGAGCTATTAGGGAGCTTTACAGATATAAAACACTTGCTATATCCACAAGGTAAAGGCTTGCTTCCGGTCCCTTCTTCTGTCTATAAACTGTACACAGTAAGCAATGAATATATGATAAAGCTGTACTGTTACATTTTTATCTATAAACCTGACATTTCTAGCTGAACTTTTATACTTATAAAAGCCCTGTAAATAATACTCTGAACTCTGCATCCTTCAGGCTCTTCAGTACATCTTGGCATCAATCTTCATGCTGAAGTTGACTTCTTGGTTGTCTTAGGCAGGTAATGCAGGCAACGAAAGAGTAATCTGTATAGTTGGGTTTTTTTTTGTCAAAAACATTACAGTAGAAGGAATGGATTTGTGTATTAGTTTCCTATACCAGGGGATGAGGAAGCAATGCAGCTAGGAAAGGACCTATATGCAAACTGCAAGCAGAATTGTCATCTGTTAATCTTCACACAAAGGTACTTATAAAGCCCCAGCCATAAAAGCAAATCAAAACAGATCTATCAGCATTAGATAAAATCAGCTGAAAAGGGGTGAGGTTTTCAGTAAGCAGGGAAGAAAGAATTAATTCATCGTCAAATTCATCATCCACAATAAACAAACCTTTTTTTTTTTTTTTGTTTAATAGTAGAACTGGAAGAATGCATACAGGCTAGCACAAAACCCAACTTATTGTTGGTTTTTAAAAATTATGAACCAACCCTACTGGAATTTGAATGCTTCCTTGTGATCCTGAATTCCTGAAGTGTGTTATTCCATTTCTGAAAAAGTTACCTTAGTGGCCTAGAAAATGTTCACTTACTTCCTAGAAAACAAGTTTTCAAAGAACGATTTGCAGCTAAGCTGCCATTAGCACTCAGACACAAGACCAAGTTATCACTAACAAATTTTTAGGACTGCTGAGCTATATTAACTGCATATGTTGTTATCACAACAAGCATGACGTTACATGACATGACTCAAATTTCTTATTGTGGGCTAAGAGTACTGTGAGTACCTCACAACCGCTGCACGCTAGGAGGACAAGCATGAAGACCAGGGTCAGGCAATCCTGAGTAGCTTCCACAGCTTTCAAAAGGAGGTACGGTTTCAGGCATACGTAACAAATTCCAGTTTTACCTTCCAATTGTAGCAGGTTTCACAGCTGTGATAATATAAAGTGATCCAGTCTGTAGAACTGGTGATCTTATTACAATCACTCTGATACAAGGAGGCCAGATCTTTTCTTCATCTATAATTATAAAAAAAAAAAAAATACTGTTACTACCAGCAAATTACAGTTTTACCCCTATAGTCATAACTTTCAAACAACTGATATACATTCAGACATTATCTGTCCAAATGCTATGCAACTTTCAGAAAAAGAAATGTATAAGCACATCTGAGAGAAAACTTTGATGAGACTACTGTTTCAGAGGCTTTCTGACTGCACACTGAAGTATTAGAAATGTTTTCCTAATTCTGTTTATTTACATGTACACAGCTGTTTAGTTACAGCAATAAAATACATTCACAGAATTTACTACTGTATTATACATTTATGGACCACCAGTCAGATTAGAATACAGCTTTACTTTGAGAAAAGGCAGCCCCTTTTTTTCCACCACATCACAAACCTAATGTGTATAGAACTTTATATTTGATAACTTCTATGTCAAGTGTGTTTTTACTCTTACTAACATCATGCACCAATACAGATAAAATAGATGAGCCTACAGATGCATATACTTTTTTTGCCTCAGTATCTGTTAAGTGATTATATTTTTATCTGTATGAATTCTTGGGTGTACATTTGTAGAAACAGTCTCCAATAATCTCAGCTAGGAACAGACACGGTAGGATGGGGAAGACGCTAGATCAAAAGGTAGTAAGAGGAGAGAAGCTGTCTCCAGTTTTTATTACTCCAGCATTACTGCAGAATTGATTATTAGAAAACAGTTAAGAGAAGGAAATTTAATCTGAAAGCTTGATGGTAGCAAGCACATTTGAATGGCATTAATCACTCAGAACTGAGTAGCTGAATAAGTGAAAAATAAGTGAAAAAACAAGAAACAAACTGACTATTTAACTGTGAGCAGAGCACAGGTTGCATACAGACTTCTATAGGCTGTATTTCATTCTGTGATTTGGAATATCCTTTGCATATACATAGTTCCCATTGGTTGTATTAAGCTTTTCATAGGTTGGTTTGGGTTTTTTTGCAAGAGACCAGTCAGTTCTTGAGGAGGTCTTAAGGACCTAGGAGAACACTTCCTTTGGTACAAAACAGTATACAGGCTTCCTCTCTATACCCATTTCTTACGTGTTGCCACTGGAATACAAACAAGATAGGGTTGCAAATAGGACCGTGTACTTCACATCCATTTTTTGTACCACAGTGGACTCACCTTACATTGAATTATACATGATTGTTTATGAACAGTAATCACAAATATTATACATTAATTGAACACAGTTAATACTGTGAGTTCTGTACTAGAACCTCTATTTTAGCAATAGAGTTTCTTCTCTCCTGTCACTATCCTAATCTAAACAAATCTTATTCTACCACAAAGGTTTCTACAAAAGCACCGGACATTGTATCCCTAAACAGCTTTTATAAAAACACCGCTACTTGCTTCTGGGTACTGTGCAAGTAGAGGGAAGAAACAAATACTGGTAACATATAGAACTTTTTAATTCAAAGTATCTCAAGTCACATGCTTTTTTTTTTTTTTTTTTTTTAAATTATCCAAACTGTTGTTTTGTAGTTTGTTCTTAATAGGCTCCTGGAAAAACACAGTGACATCATACACACAAGCATTCACCTTCATTTTCTGAGTCTTCTGAATCAGCAGTTTCTTCACTTGTTACTTCAACCTCACTGCTGTAGGCTTCGCACTCAGAATCTGTAATTTCACCTTCTTCTGGCTCACTCTCTGTGTCTGCTGTTTTACTGTCATCTGTATATGCTGCAGTATCTGGTGTACTTTTGCGTGAATGTGAATTTATACTGTCTGTAGAAACTGAATCTTTGGCTGTTAGACTGTTTCCTGGTTTCATGTCCATCTTAGTCTTCTTTCTTATATTTGGAGACTCTTCTTCTTCAGTTGAACTTACTTGCTCAGTAGTGGAAAAGCAATTCAGACTGTTAGATGATTTATGCTCTTCAGTGTCCAAATCCTGAGGGGGAGTTACAGAATGTTACATTCTTTACAGATGAGTTATTCTAAAGTCTGCTATCAGCCTGGAAGTAAATTCTTCACTAGGAAGAATTATTTTTACAACTGTCAAGAAACAGTGAAATTTCCAGAAAGTTTTGCATGTACAGGCAAAAGAACATTTCAGTAGAAACACTTTCATATCCTATTAGACATGACTGAGACCATTTTCTATTTGGGAAAGTGTGACTGCACTCCTAAACTTCACTTATTCCTTCTTCTTTTCTCACATAAAACTCAAGATCCTTGTCCTCACTTTCAAACTTGTACAACAGTATCTTGAATATTTTTCCAGTTTTGCTTTTATGACACTTAGTTCTGTCCCTCTCTTACTCAATTCTTGCAACTTGTTCAGAAGTTCTTTAACTGATCATCATATCTTCCGTTCTTGTCTTCTCATTTTTTTCCACAATGGCCTAGGATATCTGGAATGCCCACCCATGCTTGCCTAATGCTTGCCTGTTCTTCCTCCTTTCAAAATTGCAAATTTAACAAAGCCTTTCATCAAGATAGTGTAGAGGACTTAAATTTAATTTATGCTATGTGGAACAGTTCTATTGAGAATCTATTTGCAACAAATTTCTCCACTGACTACCAGACAGATTAGATCATTGCAGGTTGTTCCATTGCCACTTGATTTCATGAGCAGAAAAAAGACCATCAGCACTTTTTAAACTGAGAAATCTAAAGTTTCATATTAATTTTGCCAGAGGACCTTGAAAATATGATTCTCAATCTAGCACCCTGGATGACCATCTTTAAAAAAAAAAAAAAAAAAGAAGAAAAAAAACAAGGAAAAAAAAAAGAAAAAAAAAGGAAGAAAGAGCACAAATGGCTTTGAAGAGAAACTTTAAAAATCTCAGATTTTAAGTTACTTACCATCTTGGATTCAGAATGAATGCATTCAATTGCCCTGAATTGTACCAAATATTGCAGCACAGCAGTTAAAATAAAAAAAATCCTTAACTTTTCTCAGTAAGTTTTTGTACAGCATTTTATATTTCAAGATACATGAATTAATCTGTATGTTAACATCATGGAAATTAAAGTACTTTCACTTTTCAGAATTGTAAAAACTCATCAGTGACACACTGTAAGACAAACACAAGAATTCTTCTCAGCCCAGCAGTCAAGCTGTTGGATAGGACTTTACAGTGTACTTTTGAGACACTTTCAATAAGACAGCAGATTCTCAGGCATAATCAGCAAATTTTAAAAGACCTCATGCTTTAACTGAAGGACTATCAGTTTGTTTAGGGTTTCTCTATAATGCACTAACCTTCCTCCCTGAATCCTCTAAGTACTGGAACTAGGAAGGTCACTGACTAATGTAGTTTATTTTAACTAAGAGATATAGTAATCCTGACAAAAGTAAGACTACACAGTTCATACATGTCAGACACGTGCATTCCATTAGAAATCTTGGCAAATCTGATTTTCACTCTTTTTGAATTATATTTTCCAGTGTATTTATTACTGTCTATATTTAAGTTTGGTATGGGTATTAGATTGATAACTGACACACCAAGGTGCTCTGCAATCCTAAATATATTTATTCCCCTAACACTGTAAGCTACCAAAGCTTTACTAATCTAATCTGAAAAGAGAGAAACTAAATGGTCTGCTCAAATCACAACTGAGGCAAACTAACAGATCACCGTGATACACTGATGCTTAAGTATAATGCCCCTGCCACTAAGCTCTTTCTCCATAGGGAATCCAGTGATCCTTGGTTTTGGCATCACTTCAGATATTCTAAATTAGAAAATAGGAAGGTGCTGTTTCAAAGCCTGGCTACTAAAGAGTAGACTCTCTGTTTGGGGTTGAAAACAGTCAATACATTCTGTCAATATGACCATTAAGACTGTTCTCAGAAGTTTCTGTATTTTTTCCACTATTACTACAATCAACTGTTAAGAAAGCAAATAAACTACATAGTTCTCTTAAGTACTGGTAAAAATGTAATCTTCGCATTTAGAAATCCCTGTACAAAACTGAGGATTTTAAAATTGCATTCCTAAAGAATATCGATTTTGAGCACTTTATGATTTCACAGATCTGTATTAAATTACACCTTGATAATGTCTAAACATTAAAAAATCAGGAACTGGCAGTACACAGAATATTCAGTAAATATCATCCTGAAGGACCGAACAAATGCAAGCAATGAACTTCATTTCTCAATGGCAGAATAGTTAAGTCTTCATCCCAAACCCATGACATAACACAAAAAGTATGCAAGTACGTGCTCACTATAACCATGTTTGTTACACCGTATCAGGCACATACCTTCCTTTGTGTGTTGCTTTGACGAATATATCTAAATAGTCAGTAGACCTACCCCAACAGTTGTATGTTGGATATGGACTGCCTCATGATTCAGCTTTGAAAAACTTTTTATGTACTGGGTATCACCACGTGATCTCTGGCTCTTCTCTCAGTAAGCATGAGTGAAGTTGAGAGGCAGGATGAATCTGCTCCATAATAAACTACTTAACCACACGGTTAAGTCAGTTCATTTTTCTGCATCTCTGACAAAGCCAAATGTGCAAGTGAAATCAGGATGTTTACGCATCCCATGAGGAGCTATCTTATAAGAATTATAAATCTTATTTGTGTGACTGAAATTGATGGTTTTGCTTTATAAACAGGCCATGAACTACTGATTACAATGACCTTCTGAAGTGCAGATTGGCCTACTTACAAAATATATATGAATGACCATAGTCACATAAGTATTTTTAATGAAAAATTCAAAATATTTTAAGCATTTAACTATACTTTTTGCTTTAATGTGACAGAGCACGACATTTTGTCTTCCGAAACTTCACATTTTCCTGTATTATGCCTGAGCAACATGCATGTTCATGCAATTCTTCAGCATGCCTACAAATTAGAACTTAAAAGTTATTATGAGCCTAACTAGCTTAATTCTAAGAAATGCACTGTTTAAACTGTATTGTTTTCTAAATAGATTTATTTTATACAAAATATAAAAATATGTACAAATACAGCTTTTCAGAAACATGTAGTCTGTTGCTTCTTGGTTTGCTACAGGTTCAGTGGGTGACTTAATGGAATCATGAGTACTTAACACCTTCATCTAAAGGGCTGAATATTAGATCTTTAGCACTGACTCTCTCAATTTGAAATATTAATTTGAAATTCAGTATTTTACTAAAGGAGCATTTTCAAACACTTTAAAATAGCTCTTTCACTCAGATGACTAAGCTTTCGCTGCTAGCACCATTTCACAAGTACTTCAGTTACTGTTTTCCACCCTACACAATATTCGCGTATCCATTGCAAAAAGTCTAATAAAAAGCCAGCAAAAGAGTAAAGCTCTTCCTATATCATAAGGAAGCTATTTTATACACTGATGGACAGCTCTGGAAGACAGGAAAAATACATTTGCCTTACCTAAAGATCACACAGTTTGTTTAGTCGGGATACTCTATGTTAATACAGTGATGCTAAATATGTCTCTTCCCAAATACACTAGAATGCCATCAAAGTTTTCTTCAGATGTTTTACTTATACAGTGTTTCAAATATATTTCAAAGTTACTTTATAGATGAACTGATTCTGACCAAATAGCTTCAAAAATTATTAATTTCTTTAGGAAAACAGGTATCTAAACATCAACTACTAGATACTATTTTTCCTTTAATGAAAATATCAAGGTTAAAGGTAAACTTCCACAGACTAATGCGTTTGGTGTCTCAACTCTACCTTCACCAGAAGCTGCCAATCCAAAAGAAGAAATCTTCAGATTAGCCATGGTTTCTGTCAACTGACGTACCTAAAGACGGGATGAATATTGGCAAAAAGTAAACTACATATGATAAAAAAAATAAAAAATCACTGCTTCAAGAATTCTGTGGGAAATGCTACTAAGTACACAAGCCTTGTCTCTCCTACAGAAGTAGTTAGAATGTGTCTATAATGGAAAAGAATACAGCAGAAGTTAATTCTGAGCATCACACTGAAATAAAATTATTAGGTACTACTTTAAGAATAAACTGTAACAACACTTTGTGGAAAAAATGGCCTATGTCAGACCCTGCATCTAAATTTTGCTATGTATTTCTAACGGCCTCAATCCAGCAAGTAGAACTACAGTATCATTATTGCACACAGTCTGTTCTCCAAGTTTTATGGACACATTGGACCTTGATACTGGGCCAGGGATCACATTACCATTTATGCTACCTTGTGATTTAATAACCAATTGGGAAAAGCAATAACAAAGTACCAATCTTCAAAAGAATTGTTGCAACTTTAGTAATTTAATCAGTATTCAGGGAGAAGTTTTATTTTAACATTGTATTTTTTTTGTCAAGAGTGGCAGAGAGAAGGGAAGGAAAAGGGAGAAGGCTGGACATGAGCACGCAGGAAAGCATTTCAACAGACAGCACTTCATCTACAAAGTTATACTTAAATCCAGACATTTTTAGTTTTCTTTTAGGTTGTAAATAATACAATAACTAGCATGAACTAATTAGTGTCTTCACCAATACCAGACTAAACTGGACAAAAATAATATTGCCAAGAAATACCAGGCATCTATGAACTGGATTGTGCAGCTTGTAAACTATTTTTTCAGTTTTATAACAGAAAAACCTATAATATTTTATTCTAATAAATCTTAATCTTTTATACTAATATAAATTTTTTTTTTAAGCTAATGAACAAATTTCTTACATGATTAAGAACTACACAACAAGAATAAAGTATTTGAACTCAGCTACATAAAATAAGACAGTAAGGTGCTTTGTTTTTTCTAAATCTAACAGTACATTTACAAAAACGGACAAAAAGGCTTTCTTTTCTTTTTGAAGTTTTGAGAGTTATGGTTTTAAGTTTCACTTTATATTCTCCCTTTTTTTGTTTTAAAAATAATAGAAAATTAAGAAGTTAAATTTGTAACATGGAATATGTGAACAGTAAGGTAGTGCTGGAACAGTCTGTCTTTCCATACAATGGGAGCAATTTACCCCTTAGGAGGAATCACAGGAACTGCTGTCCCTGAAGTGTAAAATATCCCAGAGCATGGGAGCTTCTGTTATCACAAGTCTGGAAACCTCATTATCATGTGAAAACCACACCTTCAAGTGTCTGAGACCCTCCCCAGATTAAGACCCTCACTCACACAGCACGCTAAATTTAAGAAACACCATGTCTTTAAATAGAAGTGGGAAAATAATTAAACAACTGCAGTAAAGAAGAGATAAGAACTAACCAATTATAGTGAGAGGGATGTGGCAAATAAGACAGAACTAACATTTTGAACTGTATAAATATACAATGTGACTGTAACCAGGTGTACTAGCTTTGTGGAATTACCACCTAGAATCCATCTCTCTGCAGAAATGCAACAAAATGGCATCTCGACTGTGTGTGGACTGACTTGTTGCACACCGGTGACGAACTCTAGTTTTTGGGACAACAGCACTATGGCACTAACCTTCACTTACTGCTCACAGATGCAAAGATCTGTGCCCTACAGAATGTTTTAAATGTTTTTCCTGTTATCCTGTTGGTCAGACATATTAATTCACAACTAAAGCAAAGTACTCTGTTCACTATCAATAAAACACATCAGAAAAAGTGGATGTTTACCTCCTAACTTGTGACTGTGCAAGCTTCACACAAAAGATTTGTTAACAAGACCCTCTACATAAAAATATTTTATCAGTATAAAATAAGCAGACAAGCAGCTATTTCTAGTATAATGAGATGACAGAAACAGACTGTGACGGGATCCTAAAAAGTAGTCAACATTATTTGTTAGGTCAGAGCTATATATGCCACAGAACTTTTATAAATACACTTGTTGATTTAGGTCAGTATATTACAGTGCATCACAGAACTAAATTTAAGAGATTTATTAATTACACTGTATGATAAAGGCTTATTCCTACGGGCTTTCCGTTATGCTCTTCTGACACATGATGAATAAAGTTATGTATTAACAAGGCCTTCTGAGAGTGGCAGAACGCTAATCCAGCAGTTGCACGCAGCATACCCAGAACTTGGATGCTGGTAGAACTCCTACCTTCAACTGCCTTAGCTCCCCTCTCTTAAGTCAAATGATCATTATACTTCAGTGTTGCTAAGTATCTACCTGAAGCTTTCGGAATGGAGTTGTTCCCATTAAGTTTTCTCAAAGAGTAGAAATTCCTACATTAGCTACCATCTACCTATAATTATCCATTTAACCTACCTTCATTAGTTCTTAATGTAAACAGCTTCCATTTTCAAATCTTTCAGAAGATGTCACTCCTGATACAAAAATTTTAAGCCCTGTATTGATGCTACGTAACTATTATGTAAGAGTATCTGTACACTAAGATAATTACTTCAGATTTCAACCAATCAGCTTGACTGAGGCCTACATAATGAAATTACACAACAGTTAAAGCAATAGCTTCAAAAAATACAAACTAAGGAGGCACTGCAAACTAAAGAAATCGATAAATTCAATTAAATCTTAAGTAATAAACCAAATCTGCAGAGTAGGACTACAGAAATTTGATTCAATATCAATAAGAAAATCCTTCTTGAGGTTTAATAGCTGTGTTACAATAGAACTTCTGGTGTTTAGGAGTGAGTAATGTTTTTCAAGGCAATCACTATGTACTACTATATAGTATGCTTTCTTAGCACTCAGAAAAAAAAGAAAGGAAGTTATGGTTTTTTATAATTTAAAATACAAGATAATAACAATGAGCATTTATTAAGACATTGCTTATCCACATACTATGGGCAACAAGAATGCATTGACCAAATCAAATACCAATAGGAGAGCATAATATGCAAGAATTACTACTTCACAGACATTTCAATCCCAAATGATGGTAGAGATACAGTGAAACATCAGTGGAATAAACTTTGGAATACAGTCACAAAGAAGGGGTGGTGTGTGTCTGTTTTCAAAACCTTCAGTCATTTCTTTATTCACCACTTGAATTTAAAAAAAATCCAAAAAGACAACAACAAAAAAACACGAGGCAAAACCCCAAAACAAAGACACTGAGGTAACACTGAACTTCTGGATTTAAACTGGAAGAGGGCAGATTTAGACTAGATATTAGGAAGAAATTCTTTACTGTGAGGGCGGTGAGGCACTGGAACAGGTTGCCCAGAGAAGCTGTGGATGCCCCATCCCTGGAGGTGTTCGAGGCCAGGCTGGATGAGGCTTGGAGCAACCTGGTCTACTGGAACGCGTCCCTGCCCATAGCATGGGGGTTGGAACCAGATGATATCTAAGGTCCGTTTCAACCCAAACCATTCTATGATTCTATAACTCTGATGTAAATCCAGCCCACACAGCACCCTGAATTCCTTCTAGTGTGTGTGCTAATCAGAGAGCTTCACTGACACTCAATTTTAGAGATCTACACAGTTGTATTGTAATAAAGTAACACTGAAAAAGTGAGGGGATCCAAGTTCGTAGTTTCACTGTTAATCACTCAATAGGAAAATTAAACACTAACTACATATTAGCAACCTGCTGTATACAGTTGAAATATGTTTGAATCTTTCAGAAAATAAGCATACATCCTCAACATAAAACCAAGCCCCATAACCCATAAATTGCATCAAAAAAACAGTTTTGCATTTTTTCATCTGTCAGTTCTAAAGTTACCTTATACTCATTTGCAGTAGTCTGCTCTGGTTCTTTTCTCTTCTTTTTCCCTTTTTTATCCTTGGTGTGCTGAGTACCAGAGGTCTGGTAAGACTGCAGATCCACTCGAGAATGAAACTGGTATCTGCCAGTTTCCACATCACAGTAGTAATAAATTCCAGTTGCTGGATCATAATATAGTTGATTTTCCTTTGTAAGAAATATGAAGAACAATGGTATCATCACTCCAATACATACATTGTTCAAGGAAACACCTAGTTAATGAAGAACCACATATTAAGTTTAAAATAAACATACTAAAGAACTGCGGTGGCTTGACCCTGTTTGGCTACCAGGTGCCTATCCAGCCATTCTCTCAATCCTCCCCCTCAACAGGACTGGGAGAGAAAATACGATGAAAAGCTCACGAGATGACCATCATGGGCACGCCAAATTCAACTTGGTGAAAATTTTAGCTCAAGCTTTTAATTTCAAAAGAGCTACAGAGCAGCTTTCTAGTATAAAATTTCTACAACGCCAGGCAAGCTAAAGATCTAGGACATATCAAAAAGAACTGAATGAAAACCTAAATTTATGTCTTAGCCTGCTGTCTTTAATTTGACTGAAATAGTTCAACAACTAATTAACAAACTTCCATTACTATTAATCTCCACTAATGTTTTTCAAATCATAAAGTCAGTTTGGATCTTAGTTCTTTGTTCACATCAACTTTTACTACTAAAACTTTTGCAATAGAGAAAAAATGCCAAGGGTTTTGAAAACAATCCTTACTGAATTATAGTAGAATCCAGTGCTATGGTCATAATACAATCCTGTATTTTCATCATAAATAAATCCGGTTTGTGAAACAGCAGCTTCTGCAGCAGCTCTCAAGCTCTCTGCCAAAGAACCCTCTGGTACTGAAGTATCTTCTGCTTCCTGATACCAGAAAGTAAGAAATTAAATTTTCTTCTGAGAAAACCTTGGTTGTTCAGCATTTTACAATGCCCTTATTTAAGTAAAACAAATCAGTGCTCTACGGTCTTGAATTGTTTCAAGAACTATTAAACAAGAAGACAAAAATCTAGCTGTAGTTTACTAATAAACTACTGATTTCAGTGGGACCAAGACTTCATCCTGTGCCTTTTGTATTCCACAACCTTTATTCAAAAGTGGTTCACATCAAAAATATACACAGTGAATATCTTTCAGTACGTTCCTAAAACAATTTCTGCTCTCTGTTCCATTTCAGTTGCTAGATGCTAAGGAACAAATCAATTAAGCAAGTGAGATGAAACAAGTGATCTAAGAGAAGGCTAGATAGCAGGGGAAAAAAACCACAGAACAAAATAAACATGTAAATCCCCTCAACAACTTTCTTCTCCTTATATGTTGCCTCCTTGCATCAATGTAGGGAAGA